GGGAGTTAGGGACAGAAGGGATAATATTTTTGTAAGGGATGCAGAAAATACTGGAAGAAATGTCTGGAATTGGGGGGCATTATGTGCAAAGACTCCTAGCAATGGGGGACACAAAACCTAAACTTGCCATCTTCTGTAACCAGGCAAGGCCTCAAGTGGAAGGATTGGGACAAGCCAGTCATGAAATCTTTGACCAACAGTTCCTCCCACCTGCACAGTATTCTAAGACAGGAGCCCAGCATCATCATCCCTATAGAGAACAGAGAGACTTCATCCAGTAACCAATGAGAGCAGGCACACAGTCCCACAGCCAAATATTAGGCAGATCTCAGAGGGTCCTGTGGAGAAGGGGGGAGGACTGGATGAATCCCTTTGGAGAAGGGGGGAGGACTGGATGAATCAGAAAGGTCAGGGACACCAGGAGAACATGTCCCACAGAAACAACTGACCAGAACTTGCAGAGATAAGGCAACCTGTAGGGGTCTGACCTATATCCCCTGAATATATGTTATGGCTTGGTGTTCTTGTGGGAACAGAGAATGCCTCTGAGTTTTTGCCTGCTTGTGGGATGCTCTTCCTCTTACTGGGTTGTCTTGTTGAACTTTGATAAGTGGCTTTTATGCCTGGTATTATTGTAGCATATTATGACAGATTTGGTTGATATCCCTGGCAGGCCTGCTTTTTTCTGAGGGGGGAGGATGGGGGCTGTGGGAGAAGGGAGGGAGGAGGAGGAGGGGGAGGGAAAGGGAGCTGCAGTCAGGATAAAATATATGTGAGAAGAATAAAAATAATAAATACAAAATGGCTTATAATCCCAGAATTTAATAACTAGGAGAATGAGAAAATGAACAGATTTCTATTATTAAAAAAATACCTTTTATTTGCATCCTCCTGGGAAAGTTCAGAAACAGTGTCAACAAGAGCATTAGACAATCTGATTTAGTGTAGATGAGACTCCTGCATGGATATGCAGAGTCCTAGATAATTGGAGACAGTATATGCTGTAAGTATGGTTGACTGATTAAATACATTTTTTTGCATGCTCATCTTAGTGTACTGGAAAATTCTATGAATTCTTGAAATTGGCATGTAAGTTAAGTCATTTCGTTCTATGAGTGATTGCAATCATTGCAACCTGGTCTTAAAATAACATTTTGAAATTATTTTCCTTATATTATCCTATCTGGGTCAAATAACAGAAATATGAACTTTAGGTACCACATTAAAACCATGATTTTTTCAAATGTTTACTAAAATTGTTTATTTGTAAGATTCAAATTACTTGGCCTCTGTCATATATGATTTTAAAGGTGTTAAAAATGATCTCATGTAGGTGTGAACTGAGTGAATATATTTGGTGTAATATTATTCTGTTCTGGGTGTGTTTTGCTTTTTGAAAAAAGATAATAAAATTATTTATATTCCACCTTCTCTGTGAATTTACAATAAAACATGTTAAAGAGTTCACATGAACAGTCAGTGATAAGTTGTGACAGTTTAAGTGTTTGTAGCTATTACCAAAGACACTCAAACATACTTTTCTGAGCCATGCACTATTCCCATGGATATTGGAAAGAGCTTATCTATATCCTTAATGGAATATTTTATACATCACAAATACAAAAAGTATAGGTGTTCTTCTAATCAGAGGACACCTAGCATGATGATGGATATTCTGAATTAATCAAAAAGTTCTGAGGGCAGACCAGCAATGCTGAACACCAATTCCAGAGGAAAATCAGTGACAATGGTCAAGGAAAGTGCTTCAACTGAAGCAAGACTAAACCATGACAGAAAAGATTTTTGTTGTTATTTTTCCTATGCTGGCAACTAAATAAGGCACTTGCAGACTCTAGGCAGGTTCTCTATCATGGGACAACATCCTAAGAAAAAACATATAATCCTTAATCATTACAACCCAAATCTAAATCCATAAGTACTGAGAATGTTCACAGTATAACAAAAGTAAAATAAAACAAGCCCTTTACAAAAATCACAGCACAAACAGTGCCTGAAGAGAACTAAGTATCTCCTGAAATTTGTATTATAGATTCTGTTTCTGACCTTTCAGAGACATTGATGGCAACTGTCTAGTTCTACACATTTGACTGTACCAAAGGTCACTATGACACCTGCTGTGTTCCTAGTATTG